CGGACTGTCTAAATGTTAATATTAAGAGCTAAAACTTTTAGAGATTTTTTCTTTATTTATTAGGAAGCATTTGAGCCTTTGGGAGCGAAGAAATTTGAAAATGTCCATATTGAGGACCACTCTAATATATATATATATAATATATATATAAATATATATATATATATTTAACACACAAGAAAAAACAAGCATATTCAAAACATAAAAACATCAACTTTCAACAAACAAAAAAACATCAAACTGAACGCAAAAATTCGAGCGATTTTTTTTAAATATTAATTTTAAAGAAGAAAACATATATAACTGTTTAAAAAATGCGACATGCCATTTGCGAGAAAGATGAAATTTTCCAAAGAAAAATCAGACATTCAGAATAAATAAAAACCAAATCAAAAAATATTATGAGTTGTGATTAAAAATGTATCAATCAATCCATGCGTGCGTTGTGATTAATATTGATTATGTAAAAAAAAAAAACAAAAACAAAATTAAAAACATTTCCTCGATTAGTGCAAACGTCAAGCCCTAAAGCCCTAAGATCACAAGACATTATACTACATGGACTGCTTGAAGGAGCCTGTGACGTCAAATGTCTGAGCGAACATTGCCGACGGCAATCGCGGACTCTCAAGATTGATCAAATGTCATATGTCATATGTTACGTAATAAAAATAAAAATAAAATGCCTAACATATATATATATATATATATATATATATATATAATATATAAAACGATTTTAACAGATGCATTCGATTTTATGTACATTTGTTTCACAAGAAAAATATTATTATTACAATTTCTTACAAAATTATCAGTCCACACCATTGCCATTATATTATTAAAATTAAACATGTGACATATGACATTTAATCAATCGGGAGAGTCCGCGACTGTCGTCGGCAACGTTCGCTCAGATATGTGACGTCACACTGCATTCTATGTTTGAGCACTTATATTGCGCCTGACTAGCAGTCCATGTAGTGTAAGATCAATGACTATTTGTAAGATTCAGTCGAAACCATCAAACGAGCTGCAAGCAAATGATTATAGAGCATCAAACCAATTTGATTGATTTAATAAAATAATCATTCTATTAACAAAAATCAGCTATAAATCAATTGATTTACCTATTTATTAGCATTGGCTGTAAGTTTGCTGACGACACGAGTGAGTGCTCGATTCTCAGCCCTCAAACGTTCATTTTCGTGTTTCAATTTTTGCAATTGCTACAAATTTGAAATAAATAAATGCCTAAGATTTTAACCAGTGTATGTTTTTTTTTAAATAATTTTTTTCAGTAATTGCATAAAATGTATGTTGTACGTAAACTTTAATATTCGGCGGAACAAAGAAAATTACGTGTGTGTATTAAATGATAAATTGAAATAATTTTTTGACCCATGTTCTGGAAAGGCCATGTTACGCTCTAACTAGCATACATTATACTACTGAATCATACTGAATATGGTCAAAATATCATGTATTTGCTGTGCATTCAAGCGTTTTACATATAAACTGCAACGCCACTCTTATGTTATGGTGCTGAGTCAGAAAGACCCTGTTATCTAACATCGTTTTTATGACATTTGTGCGGTTTTCAAGTTCAGTTTTCTATCTGACAACCTGAGAAATGCGCCTGACTGCACAGCAACCGCATGACTTTGTCTGATTAGTATGGAAAATTCTTCATAACATTGCTTTGCCATAACTTTTTTTGTTGTGCGGCAGAATCGGTTCCAAAGTAAATAAATGACCAAATAAAGCTTTAAATTATAGATAGCTATTTATGTTTTTCCTTCAAATAAAATTATTTTATTATAAAATGTATTTTGTAGCTTTTTATACTCTAGGAGACGATGAAAATTTGCTCGATGAATGTATTGAACGATGAATGTAAATGATTTTTGATTTTTTTTTAGTAATTGGATATTATATTATGTTAAATATTATGTCATGCGAATTTTTATCACGATTTTGATTTATGTGTTTTAAAAAAAAATTAATTGGAATAACAAAAGTTTTGTTAAAACGAGGCGAATAATTTTTTGTTTCTATTAAAGTCAAAAAACTTAATAATAACATTGAATTTTTTAAATAAAATTTTTAATAATTGAAACCGCCAAGAATCAACCTTATTTTTTTACAAATTTAAAAAAAAATAGTTTAGAAAACAAAAACAAAATCGCTAGATAAACTTTCTACTCAAACTATGTTATTGAAAGTTTTTTTTTTTTTTTTTTTTTTTTTATTTCTGTTAATTTTAACAATCAGATTACAATACAATCTATAAGTTAAAAGTTATGGTATTGAAAATCAAATCAAAAAGAAAAAAAAAATAGAATAAAGGAAATTAAAGAAAAGAATAGAATAAATGAATGAATAAATAATAATTAAATAATAGTATTAATAATAAAAACGATAATCAATAATAAATAATAATTAAAAATAACTTGTTTGAAAATTTTCCTGTGCGAAACAGGGAAATTATGTTGTTGACGGTAGATCGCTGGGCCATTTTCTTTTCAGGCGTTTTAATTTTTCGGCTGTTTGTACTATTTGCATTTCCGGATTGACGTGTGCATCCAATTTGTTTTGAAAGTTAAGAATAATTTCTATTAAATTATATAAATTTTTTGCATAAAAAAATAAATTTCTTCCTATATTATATATAGCAGAAATAAATAATTAAATTTTTAAAAATCTATTTATATTATTATAAAACTGAAATCTAATGAATTTAAACGAAAATAAAATCCCTGCATAACAAAATTACTTGAGTTGAAAGTTTAATTGTATTTTTGTATATACAATTAATGTAATTAATCCAATTTTATATTGACCCTACATGGGTTTTATATTAAATTTTTTATTAAATTGTTTAAATTTCATAAAATTTAATTTATTTCAAGATCAACTAAATAAAATAAAATTATTCATTCAAAAATTTTAAATAATTTCTTCTACAATTATATTTTTTTATATAAAACAAATTTTTCAAAAATGAACCGATATTATACATCAGATATCACTGTTTTATATTTATTTACTAAATTTTTAATAAATTTATGAAATTGAATATATTATAAATTAAATAAACGTGAATAAAACATAAAATAAAATTAATGAGTAGAAAATTGTAAATAACTTCTAATAAAAATTTCTAATTATATTTTGAACCAAATATTATGTACCACAAATTATTTTTTTAAATTGTTCATATTTTTTAAAAGTTTTTTGGAAATTTTAGGTATGTGATTGAAAATTTAAAAATATTCTCTAAATAGTAAATAAATAATTGAAGTTAAATAAATAATAGCTACGAATTATATTGTTATATAAAATAAATTTGATTAAACTAATATTATGCGTCAAAAATCAAAGTCTTTTGATACAGAATTATTTAAAACTTTATAAAATCGAATGAAAGATTAATGAATTAAAATAAAAACAATTTTATGAGAATGCCTTAGTTCAAGTATTTATTTGAAAATTGTAAACTATATTCGATCTAATCTAATCAAATCTAATTATATTTTTTATATAATTTTTTTTTAAATTAAAACAAAATGAATTATTTAAAATTGTGTAAATCCGAATATATTCTTCGTATGAAATATATAATATGAAAATAAAATCGCCAAATGTAAAATTATTCTTTTCAGGTGTAAATAATTTTAGGTGTAATAATTTTTATTAATTATATTTTCGGGATAAAACAAATTTAATCGAATAAGTATTATATGCCAGATATAAATGTCGGATTTCTTTTTAAAATTGCATATATTGCAACAATAACGAATAAACGTACATAAAACTGCTAAATATAGAAAAAATTATGTTCAAAATTTTAAATAATTTCCAATAATATTCTTTAATTTTAAATATTTTATATAACAAATGTAATCAAATCAAAATCACGTGCCAAAGATCTATTTCGTCGTCAAAATGGTTTAAAATCATATAGGATATCAATAAACGAAATAAAAAAATGTCATGTATAAAAATATTCGTAATTAATTTCAATCTGGAATTAATATCTAATTTAGTTTTAAATTAAGCAAATTTTAATTATGCATAAATTCTTCTAATATATAATGCATTATTCGAATATATGCTTATAAAAAAATAACTCGAACAGCATGTGCATTAGCAATTACTAAAATAATAATAAAGATTTTTATTCAAAACCTTAGAATAAAAATTTAAAAAAATAAATTAAAACCTTATAATAGAATTAAAGGATTTTCTTTATCCAATATAATATTATAAAAATAAAAGTTTTATTCGTACTCTTTTTGTTTGTTGTTAGTTGATGTTTATACTACTATTTTTTATTAACACGACATAAATAATAATCGACTGACTATAAATTAAAATGGATAAAAGAATAAAAAAATATAAGGAATTACTTACTTTTAGTTCCTCCTCCATTTCTGACAACTTTCTTTCCATCGCGCGCTTTTCACGTTTTTCTAATTCCGATAAAGCTCCTTTGTTTGTCTACAAAATAAAAATCCATTTATATCTATTATAATTCTTAATATTATTTTCAAAATGTGAATTTCTTTTTATTAAAAATCCAAAGTAGAATTATTAATTAATGAGTGAGTAAACAATAAAAGTTAAGTCGACGTAGCGCAGAAGGAACTTTGTTATAAAGTCAAAAGTAATGTTAAACCAACGTGGATGCTACGTATTATTATACACCTTAACCACCAATATCTAAATAATATCTAAATCAATCAATTTAGAAGAAAAAAAAACGATTTCATTTGTCATTTAAATCCAAAGTAGTTTTTACTTTTGCAGAAAATTTCATTAAATGTAACATCAAAGATACATCGACTCGATGTAACAAAAACGAAACTAAATCCAAGTTACGATGCAACATCTTTAGATGCCATGTGTTTTCTTTTCAAAACAGTTATAAAATGAATGTATTCAACTAATTTTTGTATTAGCTAGTAAATAGTAAATAATAAAAAAAATATACTGACTACATTGGTGACTCGATCGATGGTAGCTTTGGCATCTTTCAGTTCTTCGTTGCGTTTCTTCAGTTGCTCTTGTAGCCTCTCATTGTCAGCTCTAAGGAATAAAAAAATAATTAATAATAATAAAAATAATAGTAATAATAATAATAATGATAGATAGGCAAGCTGCAAAATTATTAATAAGAAAAGTTAGCATCCATGAATCAAATCTTAATAATTTAAAAAAGGAAATTGTTGAACAAATCTAATAGAAAACCATTTATGTATTGTAAATAAATCTATATAAATCAATATTTAAAATCTGATCATTAAAATGAGAATCATCACTAAAAGTCTAATTACTGTATAAATTCTTATGATTTTTATGAAAAAAAATGATTATATTTATATTTACTTTGCGCTCTCCCACAGGGCTTTGTAATCAATGACGTCACTTCCATTTTCGGTGACGTCATTGTCGTCCACCAGTGACGTAGACGAACCCAATCTCGAACGGCTCGATCTTTCTGAACCACTCTGAAAAATCAATAAAATATATATTAATAAAATAAAATAAAAATGCGCAAATATTCATTTTTTGCAAAATGAAGTTAAATCATATGGACTGCAAAAATTAAAAATTATCCGGCAGTGTATTTTTGATACAACAATAAATTACAATAATGTTATTATTCAATTTTCCAACTTTAATGATAATCTCAGAACTCTTAGTCAACAAATATTAAATAAAACATATTTATTAGCATAAATATACTTCATATCACTTTTGAATAATTCATCAATATTATGAAAGAAACTTTATTTTCACTTTTTGTATAATTATTTATCTACATAATACATTAAAACAACAGTTTTTAAAATACAAATAAGTAAAACTGAGTACTACTTCTCACGATGCGACTCTTCAGTGGCAAGTTTTACTTATTAGCAAATTTAAATAAGTTATAAAGCACTTTTAAAATTTTCTGTTATAAATTTGATCTAACAACTAGGATGTTCAGTAATCCTATTTTTATACCTGATTATGAGTACTTTATTTCGGACGGAAATAGGAACATCTTTATTTAAAACTATATTATTTATGTCCCGGCTCTGTATAATGTTTTATTAGATAAACTTCAAGTTTTTTGGCAAAAGCCGTTTGCGAATTTTAAAACAATAAATTTAAATCAACTCCAGATCAGATCGTATTGGTTGTTGTAGGTGTAGGTGTAGTAATGTAGTAATAAATCAATCGCCAAAAACAACTGTTATAAATTAAGTTTTGTTTTGGCGATGATTTCATCGTCGGTTAAAAATAATCGATCGAACGGATGAAAATACTTTATGAACTTGAACAGGAATTAAATTGAATATGAAGCGGATTGAATTTATTTTTAGAAAACACTACTAAGCAAAACTAAAAATTATTTTGAAGCATACAAAAAGCATTATATTTATAACAATGATACAGTAAATTTCATCTAATTAATCCAGATAGATTATGTAATTAAGGCAATAAACTTAAACTAGTTGAAAGTGGCATTTAGCCTTAAAGCAAGTTGCATGAACTTCCCGAAATGAGCAAAAATTGACTTAATCGAATTTGAAATTTAGATATTTAGATAAAATTGTCAACTGTTTATTTCAAAAATGAAGTTATCGCTTTCAATTAAAACTAAACATTGCGATTTCTAATAGAATTTTCTCATACACATTTAAATTAACTGTAATTATATTAATTATTTTGCACAGACGCGTGCTTGTATGCCCTAAAATTGTAGTTCAATATATTTAAATTTTAATGATTTGATAATGTTTGATTCATCACATCACAAAAGCAATTTTGACACAAATTTAGACTATAATATTTCTCAAACTTTAATTTAATTTTTAACATTAAATCATTTATCGTAACATTTTAGTATGCTTTATAAGACCATGATATCTATTGCCAAAAAAAGACTCTTAAAAATCGACAAGACACACACAAACTTTTTCCAAATTTGGTCTCATTCGATTCAGAAAGACTTGAAACGTCGAGAAAACATAATTAGCGAATCAGATTTTTTTGATAAAAACATAAACTTCCTCTTTCGGGAAGTTAAAAAAAATCAGTGAAAATGAAAAAAAAACAGGCGAAATTCAAAACAGCAGACAATTGAAAAAAAAATCTGAAAACCTAAAAAAAATAAAGGGCAACAAAAAACTGTGAAAACTTTATTAATAGAAACTTTATAAGAACTTTTAAAACAAGTCGCAACCTAACAACACAGTCAAAACTTTCAAAAAAAGTCATAACTTTCAAAAAAAAATTGAAACTTAAAAAAACAGTGAAAATTTAAATATACAGTTGAAACTGTATAACTTAGAAAACAGTAGGAACTTAAAAAACAAATAGTTGAAACTTTCGTAAAACAGTTGAACCTTCAACAAAATAATGGGAACGTAAAAAAACAGTGGGCAATAAAAAAAACAATGGGAACCTAAACAAAAAAGCCGAAACTTTTAAAAAACAGCCGAAACTTTAAGAACACAGTCGAAACTTTCAGAACACAGCCGAAACTTTCAGAACACAGTTGTAACTTAAAAAAAATGAAACTTAAAAAAACAGTGAAAATTTAAATATACAGTTAAAACTTAGAACAGTATGAACTGAAAAAGCAGTGTAAACTTTCGAAAAATAGTCGAAACTTTCGTAAAACAGTCAAACCTTAAAAAAACAGTGGGAACCAAAAAAATAGTGGGCATTAATAAAACAGTGGAAACCTAAAAAACAGCCGAAGCTTTCAGAACACAGTCGAAACTTTCAAAACAAGGTCGAAACTAAAAAAAAACAGTGAAAATCTAAAAATAGTGTTAAATAAAAAACAGTGAAAATTTAAAAAATAGTGGACAATAAAACAGTCAAAATATTCAAACTACAGTCGAAACTTTCAAAAAACAGTCGCAACTTTAAAACCAAAAATTGTCGCAGCTTTCAAAATACAGGAAGAACTTTTAAAATACAGTAGCAACTTTAGAAAAAAAAGTCGTCAATTTGGAAAAAAAAGGTCGAAAATTCAGTAGAGCAATGGAAACTTTAGAAAAAATTGTTGAAAACCTTCAGAAGAGCAACAGAAATTTTAGAAAAAGTATCTAAAATTTTCCAAAGACCAATCAAAACTTTAGTGAAAAAAACCGAAAGTTAACTAAAAATCGAGATTTATTATAGTATATTTTTATATTCATATTTTTTTTCTTTTTTCTCTATATTTGTCTTTAGTTTTTTCTTTTTTATATATTAACTATAGTAGATACACCACTGGGCGTATGTGCTAATTTGTAAACAACCAATTGTAAACACTTGTCAGCATTCTCTGCTAAATATAATTATTTTTATAGATTGCAGAATAAAAAAAAAAAAAAAAAAAAAAAAACTAAAAAAAGCAGCAGAAACTTTAGATAAGAAATCAGAACTATAGATAAAGAATGGAAACTTGGGAAAAACATCAGACAATTTACAAGAGTTATCGAAACTTTCAATCGTAATGTCAAGGCAACAATCAAGCCTTTAAGAAAACAGTCTAAATAAAAAAAAAACAGTCAAAACTTTAAGAGGATGATCCAAAATATATATAAATATCAGAGACGAAAATAATTTTAAACTATTCCTAATTCTAATGGGCTAATTCTGGAGTAACATAGACGATAAAAAAATAGATGGCAACGCTATGTTATGATTGTTTTTTGGTAGTAAAAACTGTGAAAATCTATCTGCTGCATGATCAGGGGTTTTACACATAAAACTGCATGATGCACATCACGAAGACGTTAACATAACATTCTTTCTGAATTTGTTTATATGTTAAATACGCCTGATCGTACTGCAAATGGATATACACTTTCATACATGTTGGTACCAAGAAATATTTTTACTATTTTAATAATTAGTTATCAAGAAATCTAAAATCTGTTGATAAAATGAGTAACTCAGACAATAATTAAAAAAAATTTTTTTTATATAATATCAATTCTTCTTACAGCATATCCTTCAGAACCAGCCAAAGAATTCAAACTGTGTGACCTCTTCCCGAACTCTCCACTTGCACTGCTCCTCTCGTGTCGATTCCTCGATCTGGACATTCTCTGCGGGGGGACAGGAGCCCCTTCATTACCAGAAAAAGAAGAACCCTTATTACCACTACCACTACCACTAGTTCCTTGATTACTACCACTCGTCGTCTTCGGCTGATAGTGCTTCGGACTCTCAAAAGCCAGGGTAAAAGTACTATAACCATTCTTGGAATACCCACTGTTGCGTTTGTAATTTCTCTTCCCGCTGCCACCATAACCGGAATTCAGAGAATTTAGGGATCCATGTAAACCGGTTCCGTAGGACCCATAAGACCCCAAACCGTAACTGGTGGAAGTCGGTTGTAGACCGTAACCAGAACCGTAGGATGTGGTTTTGTAGCTAGGACTTTGTGGTAAGGACGAGTAAGATGTCGAAGATGTCCTAGGATGGTGAGTGTTAAATGAAGACGAGGCTGACAGGGATGTAGGGTATAGATTGAGGTTATGTGGACGCGATGACGTCATGTAGTTGGCGTTGGAGGACGATGGTGGTGCTCTACTTGTGGAGGACGACCGGCGGGTTGAGGGAATTCTGACGCGGTCTTTGGTGCGAAACGACATTTTGGTAGGGGTGATTGATAGTTGAACGGAGTTGTAAGGGTTGCACTCAGTGTCCCAAGGTTTACACAGATAAACTTGTGATAAAAATGTACTTTTGATACATTTATTATAGTAGTGGTGCAGCAAGATGACTTTCCAGAAGGTTAGTGGAATCTAATCTTGAATCCAGGAAGTTAGTCGATAGAAACCTTTACACTATATCAACTTTTGTTATTATTTGAAATTATTTTTGTGATTTTTAACACTAATTTGGGAATTGCCAGAGATTTACTAATAGAATACTTTTAGCATCAAATTGTCACTGGATCACTTGAGTGATGAGCATCAAAATTAACCCAAAAGATTAGTAAACAGTGTTGATAGATTTTTCTCAGCTTAGTCGATTTTTTGTGGTTTTGAACATTTGCTGAATTAGATTTTTTTGCACTAACGCATCCAGATATTTACACAAATCAATTAAATAAATAATTGAGACACAAATTTATTAATTTAATAATTTTATTATCAATGTCACTTGATCACTTTTGAAGTGGCCACGCAAATTGATCCAGAAAATTGTTGGACTGTTATAAAGATTCTTTGTGTCAATATTTGGTATAGTCAATTGGTGTAATGGAGTAAATTGATGATCCAGAAAGTTAATAAATTAAAATTTTGACACTAAGTTGATTTTTGTGATTTTGTCAACACTTATTGGTTCAGATTTGGCACTTATTATCCAGAGAGTTACACAGATCAACTAATTTGGTAATTGTCAGCATAATTTTATCATCAATATGTCACTAGATCACTTGAGGGATGATCAAATTTAACCCAGAAGATTATTAGATTTTGAAAATTGTCACAAATACTCTAATATG